ACCTTACAGACTATAATAACACTACATTATTTATTCTCCTCTAAAGCCAATAACATATGCACATAATTCTACTGTATAGTTAAAAAAATGCAGGTTTTTTTTAATCTAGTCTGTGTTTAGAATTTACTACTAATTTTACTACTAATACTGACTTAATTTTTTCAATCTTTTGAGCGATTTGTATCAATATGCAAATGAACATTATAATTATTCCCTTTATTTTGCTTAAATGTATATTTCACTGGTCTTTGCTTTTGATGGGCTGTTCTTTATTGCAAAATACGTTTGTTTTATATAATTTTGTTCTTTAATGATAAGAGTGTGAATAAACCTCAGCACCTGAGGAGAGGCAGATTTATTTGTTTTTTAATATCAAAGTAATTTAATATTCGGATATTTCAGATGATATTTAGTTTTTTTTTTTCATTCATTTATGAAAATTGACTTATTGACACTGGAAAACAAAAATAATTAGAATATTTGCTTTCTTTCGGAGTTTTTCTTCCATTTTGAAGACTTTTTTTAAAAAACTCCTTGGACTTGACATCAAAATAAAAACGTAACTTATGCAGTTTCCGGTTTAATTTCCAAACCGACTTCTTCAATAACCAGCCATCTCATTGGTGGGTTTTGGATTATTTGGGTTTGAAAGTCGGGAGCTGATTGGCTGTTGCCGAAGGAACGTCAGTTTAAACTGAGGGGCGGGAGAAAGTTCAGTTTGTTCTCCGAACCGGCAGCAGCTGCTACTGGACTGAAGCGAGCTGACACCGAACCGAACCCGGTGAGTCTCTGATATGGACGGGTCAGCCAGCTGACGCGTTTACCTCCTGGTATCACGTGGTGTTTGTTTGTTTAGCCGTTAGCCGAACCGGCTAACGGCTGTTAGCATGGAGCTAACGGATTGATCAGGGTTCTGACCCGGAGCCCTCAGCTCCCACGGGCTCTGTCCGGGTTTCAGAGTTTCGGCCCGGTTCATTCCCTCTCTCTGTCCCCAGCACGAACCGAACCGAGTGACCCATGGCCTCCCAGAACATGGACCCCGCAGCGGCCGCAGCGTCCTCCGCGGCCGCCCTGAAGGGCAGCGAAAGCGGCAGCAGCGCGGCCAGAGGCTCGGTGACCAACGGTGAGTCCCGAACCTCCACAGAGTCCCGAACCTCCACAGAGTCCCGAACCTCCACAGAGTCCCGAACCTCCCAGAGTCCCGAACCTCCACAGTCGGTCCAATAACAGCGAGCGTAACTTGTTACCATGGTAACGGAGGCACATGACCCGCAGCAGACCCAGCAGCTCTAATTTCCGGTCCGGAACTTTTGGTTCCTCTGGGTTCAGGTTCACAAACAGATAACAGTCCAAACACAGGAGCCCCACAGGGGCCTGGTCCCTTCCACTGACCTCTGACCTCTACAGAAACGCTCAGATTACTCTGCAGTTGGTTTATGGAACAATTAAATCATCTTACATGTGAACAAACAAGAGGTGAACAGGGTCAAAGGTCAAAGCCGTTTCCATGGTGGGGGAGGAAGTGGAGGAAGATGAAACGTTGAGCTGCAGCAGAAAGTCAGTTTTTCTGAATGTGTCTCTCTGTCCTCAGGCTGCAGCAGGAGCTGATGACCCTCATGGTGAGTCCATTTTCCCTGTTGCCATAGTGAACCCAGAGTGGACCGCCGGATTACTCTGGTCAGAACCAGAACTTCAGACATGAAGAGCTTTCTGAACACCATCTGGACCCTGGATGACATCATCAGAACTCTTGGTTCTGGTGGGGGAAACCAGCAGAACCAAGAGTTCTGAGAGTTCAGCTGGTTCCAGTACCAGAACCATCGAATAAGACGCAGGAACTGAGTTTCTTCCTGCTGTCACCAGATAATCCAGAACCATTTCATTCCTCTGTGATTCATTAAGACACTAAAGGCCCAGCAGAGCCGACCCAATTGGGCCCAGCAGAACCAACCTGGACCACAGCTTCACTCTGAGCATGCTCAGACTCATCTGTGGTCACATGATCGTTTATTACGTTGTATTAAGCGATCATGTGACCTCTGACCTGATTCGTGTGACCTCTGTGTGACCTCATGCTGCAGATGTCGGGTGATAAGGGCATCTCGGCGTTTCCAGAATCCGATAATCTCTTCAAATGGATCGGAACCATCGATGGAGCTCAGGGGACGGTGCGTACTCCCCCTGTCTCTGCGTTTATGGTTCCTCTGACCCGGTTCTGACCCGGTTCTAACTCCAGGTGTACGAGGGGCTGCGGTACCGGCTGTCCCTGGACTTCCCGGCCGGCTACCCGTACCAGGCTCCCCGGGTCCGGTTCGTGACGCCGTGTTTCCACCCCAACGTGGACGATCAGGGCGCCATCTGCCTGGACATCCTGAAGGACAAGTGGTCGGCTCTGTACGACGTCCGGTCCATCCTGCTGTCTGTCCAGAGCCTGCTGGGAGGTACCGGAACCGCCCGAACCGGTTCCGTTTGCCCTCCACCGGGTCGCTAACTTGCTGTCTCTCTCCAGAACCCAACAATGAGAGTCCTCTGAACACGGCCGCCGCAGAACTGTGGGAGAACCAGGACGGTAAGGGAACCAGAACCAGAACCTCAGGCAGTAGCTGGGCGGACCAGTCGTGTTCTGACCCGTTTCTATTCATGGCTCTGATCAGATCAGCTGTTCCTCTGTAGCCAATCAGCGCGCAGGATCTCTGATCAGAGCTGTGATTGGTCAGTCTGCCTTCAGTTCTCTGCTACACTTTTCAGATTTTGGCCCGGTCCGAATCCTCTGTCTCCCCTGCTCATGTTGAAGGTTAAAGGTCACAGTGTGTCCCACATTCTCCTCATCTGCCCATTTTGGGTCCTTTTTTCATGCAAAGTTTGCAGTTTTATGGACTTCTGCGAATGCGTTACCCACAGTTCATTGCAGCATGTGACGCTTTGAGTTAAGAGTCGGATTTATGGCAAAGTTTGGTTGTTTTTTTCCATCTTTATGGACAATTCAAAGAAAATATCATCACAAGGCACATTAGTTATAAAGTTTGATAAACTGAGCAGAAAAAGCAGAAATAAATAATCAGAAACTGACAATAAAGAAAAACAAAATGTCACAAATGAAAGACAAATTTCAACTGACAAACTTTACACATAATTATGAAACTAATATCTTAAGTTGGTTGTGTTTTAGTTCCATCAGTCTTCTTGTTTTTCACATCAGGCCTTTTTTATTTTTTATGTTTGTCCTGAACTTGATCTTTATCATTATCTCCACTTTCATACCAAACTAACTTTGATCTGCATGAAACAGGCGGTTTATGGCTCAATATCTCTGAGTCAAATAGGCTGACAAATTCATTATTAGGACATTTTAATATGTAGTTTTGGGAAATATGGCAAAGTTCACAGAGCGAGCGCAAAAATAGAATAAAATCAGTTTTCAAAAGTAAAATATGGAAATATTTTATGTTTTGCTGAACATGAGGGATTATATTTATTTTATTTTTAACAAAACTCATTTCTCCAACCAGCATCTGAACAGGCAGAAAAACCTTCACTGAACATTTAAAATCATCTTTTAGCAGCAGGAATACAGACCAGTCGGCCATTTTGGATTTGAAGTTATGACCTCTGACCTGATGTCACAGGGCCCTTTAATTCTCTGAGCTGCCGTTTGTTCTGCAGTGCATGATGGGAGTTGTTGTTTCTGTTGCAGCCTTCCGGGCTCACCTCCACGCCACGTTCCAGCACTGAAGCAGCTTCTCCGTCTGATTGTATCATATTTTTATGTTTGTTTGCCTCTCTGTTAATAAAGAATAAAGTTTAATCAACCAGACTCTGTCTATATGGAACCAGACCCGTGAGAGCCACACGCTGCAGAACCAGATCCTGATGGAGCCGTTTTTAGAAACTTAAGTCCATTTCACACGACGCGATATTAGAAAAGTCGGCCGATTGTGAAAACGTGAGAGATCAAACCCCAGACGATTTCAAACGTAACGGCTCGATCAGAGAGCGTGAAGGGACATGAAATCCCTCCAAATTAAAACTGCATCATCACCACAGCTGAGTTCAGAGTAAACAAACATGGACAATGAAGAGGAAACTTTAGTTTAACCCAAACAGACGGAACCAAAAATCAAAGCTTTGGGTTAAGAACTGGAGACATCGCGAGCATGGATTATATGTGTTGCATCAACATGGAGGAGAGGTTTTTTCATAAAAAAAATACTGTTTTTTGTTTTCGGTTTTGTCATTTAATTAACCGTTTACGTATAATTTTCAAATGTTTCGAAGTGTTTATATTGTAGAATATATGCATATAACTGAAACATCAGAGCAGCTTAAAGTAGAAGAAAGCATTTCCTCCATATTCATTATTTAAAAATCAGATGCAGTTATCCTTTTGCCCCCAACTGACCGAAAGCTTAACGTATTCCAGCTCCTTTATTGAAACTTATTGTATTGTTGAAAATTGTACTATGACTAGAATAAAATCAAATGCGCCATTTCAACCAAAGATTGGAAAGCGCTTCTCACCCAGATGTGCTGTGCAATAATTTTATAATTATCTTTCATTAAAAAAACAACAATCCAATAGCAGCTGCTCCGAATAAGGATCAAGTTTTATTTATGGTTTTATGAGATCTAATTAAGCACATTTCATTCACCAGAGCCGCGGTGAACGCCTCTGCTCCCCCGACTGGACCCGATCGGTCCTAACCCTCCACCGACTGGACCCGATCGGTCCTAACCTCCACCGACTGGACCCGATCGGTCTTAACCTCCACCGACTGGACCCGATCGGTCCTAACCCTCCACCGACTGGACCCGATCGGTCCTAACCCTAACACACCACAGGATTATCGGTTACGATTGAAGCAACAATCTTAGACTCTAAGATTGTCTTAAGGGCAAAATCGAGCCAAAAAAACGTGTAGTGAAACTGGGCTTTAAAACTCATCATAAATCATCACAAAGTGAAATATTTCTGATTGTGGAAGGAAGCCCAACATGCAGCGTCTCAAACTGAAATGTTCAGATCAGTGAAACAGATGTTCTGCTGCAGAATCTTATTGAAGACTAATGGCTCTGATAGATGTGTTAACTCTGGACCCGACAGAACCAGCAGATCACCTGTTGAATCTGAAGGTCGTCTGCTCCTTCAGATTGAATGGATGGGCACTTCTTCCTTCCACTGAACTTTCTGTGCTATAATTTTCACATTATTCTAGTCCTCTGCTACATTCTGGGTCAATATTTCTATAGAAGATTTCTATTGGAGCTCTCGGAACCTGCTGAACCGGGCCTATCCGACCCAGCAGCAGGTTCCCTGGCAGCAGGCGGGCAGCTTGGTGCCGCTGGACGACGCCACCTCCATCAAGTCCTCCAGGCTTTCCTCCGGATCCTCGGCGTCGCTCAGAGCCTCGGCCCACGCCGGCTGGGTCGACTCAACCGACCAGAACGCCACCGGGACCTGCAGAACCAGAGAGAGCTGAGCCCGGTTCTGCTGAGCCCGGTTCTGCTCAGGTTCTGGAGGTGGAACCCTCTGCTGCAGCTCACCCAGCTGGGCCTCCAGGCCTGCGATGTGATTGGTCAGATCTGGACTGGGTTCTTCTTCCAGAACCAGCCAGGGGACTTGGACCAGCGCCACCCGGGCCGCCAGACCCACCGGGCCGTCGGAACATCCTGAGAGGAAACGGCAGAAGAGAGGAAGCTGAACCCTGCAGGTCACTTCAGGAACAAATGCAGAATTTTTTCAGATTTTATCCAACTTTTTTTTTCTTTTGTAAAAAAGAAATTACAGAAAATATTTTCAAAAAGGGATTTCATTCAATCACAATATCTGTGAGTTTTAAGACGGATTATTAGTCATAATATTAGCAGAGTATAAATACAGTTTTACCAGAAAAATGTTCTAGTAAAACATTAGATCTTCACTAAGTGGGCTGCACAGTGGCGCAGGTTCTGAGTTCGATTCCCGGCCCGGGTCTTTCTGTTTGCATGTTCTCCCTTTGCCTGGTGGGTTCGCTCCGTTCTCCGGTTCCTCCCACAGTCCAAAAACATGACTGTCAGGTGTGTGTGTGTGTGTGTGGTGTGTGTGTGTGTGTGTTTGTGTGTGTGTGTTTGTGTGTGTGTGTGTGTGTTTGTGTGTGTGGTGTGTGTGTGGGTGTGTGTGTGGGTGGGTGTTTGTGTGTGTGTGTGTGTGTTTGTGGTGTGTGTGTGTGTGGGTGTGTGTGTGGGGGGGTTTGTGTGTGTGTGTGTTTGTGTGGTGTTGTGTGTGTGTGTGTGTGTGTTTGTGTGTGTGTGTGTTTGTGTGTGTGTGTTTGTGTGTGTGTGGTGTGTGTTTGTGTGTGGGTGTGTGTGTGTGTGTGGGTGGGTGTTTGTGTGTGTGTGTGCGTGTGTGTGTGTGTGTGTGGGTGTGTGTGTGTTTGTGTGTGTGTGTGTGTGTGTCTGTGTGTGTGTGTGTGGGGTGTGTGTGTGTGTCTCTGTGTTGCCCGGCGACCTGTCCACGTGACCCCGCCTCTCACCTGGAACGTTGGCTGACAGGCAGCTGCTCTCGACCCACTAACCCTAATAATTAATATAATGTGTTAAAACATGAAGCTTTTCGTTATCTGTAAAACTTATAAGAAGTAAAACTTCACAAGATGCTCAATATTCTCTTTTGATTTTTTTTGTGTTTAATCTTTGCAATTTTATTCTCGAGTTTAAAAGTGAAATAATCATAAACTAGTCCTAATATTCCATCTTAAAGTCGAACTGAATTCCAATCAAACATTATCAAACAAGATGGCCGCTCTGGGCGATGACATCACTCGACCTATGAAGAGAGCATTGGCTGAAACGTTTATTTCCACAAATAAACCTTTAAAACCAAATTCAATTAATTTCTAAAATCAGTTAATTTCCCAGCCAATCAGACGCAGGAGGGCGGAGCCAACAAGTCACCTGTGTTCACCAGTGAGCGTCTGCTGGGAGCGCTGGGTCAGGGGGAACTGACCAATCAGATCTTTGGCCCTGCGGAGGTCAGACAGGAAGTTCTCCACTGCAGACAGGAAGAGAACCCACAGTCGCTCTGAAGCATGTCTGTCATCCACGGCAACGGGGGCGGAGTCACAGGCTGACAGCAGGCGCAGCAGGCGGCGAGACAGACCTGCAGAGGGACAGGTGAACCCAGCAGGACAGGTGAACCCAGCAGGACAGGTGAACCAGCAGGACAGGTGAACCAGCAGGACAGGCGTTACCTGAGCAGATCCGGTGAGCCAGCGCTCTCGTCTCGTCCATCTCTTCCCGTAGGAAGCTGCTGTCGGCTGAACTTCCCAGTGACGCTGCCAGTTGCTGGAAGCAGGAAGTGACCCGACTCAGAGCATTCTGAGCGCCACACTCTGCCTGCTGCCGCCGCCGTCCTGCTGTCAGCTCATCCACCGAACGACGCCACCGACTCATGATGGAACACAGCCGATCAGAGCTCAGTGTCGGCCTGAAGGTCATCAGAAGGTCAGCAGTAACTGGTGAAGCTTTAGTTTGGGTTCAGACGGAAAACACTCCGGTTCTGGTACCGATTGATGGTGATCACCACTGGCGCCTCCAGAAAGTTTTCAAAAGTTGGGGGTGAGGTACAGCTAAAATAATTCTTTAGGGGGCAACTTCACTGCAATGGGGCCGAGGCCCCCCATCCTATAGGGGCGCCACTGCTCAGTTGACATTTAACTGCCAGGCGGCGGCATAGAGCAGTCCGAGCCTCAGAACCTGCAGGCCTACTGTCTTCACATTTCCCTTCGTTACAATCTGGGTGAACAAGCCACTCGGATCCAGAACACAGGACAAGAGGACAAGACAGGACAAGAGGACAAGACAGAACAATGGGACAACAAGACAGGACAAAACAAGACAGGACAAGAGGACAAGACAGAACAATGGGACAACAAGACAGGACAAGACAGGACAAGAGGACAAGACAGGACAAGAGGACAAGACAGGACAAGAAGACAAGACAGGACAAGACAAGACAGGACAAGAGGACAAGACAGGACAAGAGGACAACCATCTGGAGCGAGATTTAAAACAAACTGCTGAATGACTCCAGATATTAAAACTCATCCAGAAGTTTTAATATTTGACTAAGCTGATGATGCAGGACGACGGCATGTATAGTACAGAGCAAAAGTTTGGACACAACCTTCTCTTTCAAAGTGTTTCCTTTATTTTCATGACTATTCATAAGGTAAGAAAGCCCAGTTATCAACCTGACAGGTCACACCTGTGAAGTGAAAACCATTTCAGGTGACGACCTCTTAAGCTCATCAAGACAATGCAGAGGTTGCTGCTTTGAAGAAACTACAATATGAGGTGTATTTTCAGTTGTTTTACACTTTTTTGTTTCGCACATATTTCCACATGGTTTAATTCATAGTTTGATGCCTTCAGTGTGAATCGACAGTGTCAATAGTCATGAAAATAAAGGAAACTCATTGAACAAAAAGGTGTGTCCAAACTTTTGCTCTGTACTGTAGTTTACTTTGCTTCAACATATTTGCACTAATATCAGTATATATCAGTTTAATTGTGAGAAATATTATAAAATTTTTCATTTCAACCAGATAATGGAGTTAGAGGTTTGAACAGAATAAATCAAAAGGAATATACACTCTAAAAATGATTTTGGTGCAAAACATTTATAATACAGAGTGGACTGGAAACCAGACAAACTCTTTAAATATGCAATATAAATATAACTGCAAGTGAAACGGACATAACAGGACAATTACAAAGAGTTACAGGAATAATTGTAGCTAATGCATTTAACAAGCTAAATTAATAAATATAACTGAAATTATAAGTTAGAAAAATAGCAGTTAAGTGAAAAGCACATAATTAAGAATGTTACTGAAATATTTGTTTGTCACTGATGGATCAATATAAAAGTTGTTTAATTTACTTCATTAGAATGAATCATGCTGTTACCTCATGAATCGCTCTTCTATTAAATAATTAATATTATTATTAAAGGACATGTTGCGTTTTACCTGAAGCGTCTCACCTGCTGCTGCTCCCACCTTCCTCTGCGGTGGATGCAGGTTTCTGAAATCACCCAGGTTCTGCTGCTCCACAGGGAGCGTTTGTGTTTTTAATTAACTGGCAGAACAGCTGAGACCCCAGAGCCCCGCCCTCCAAGCCTCACCTGTCCAGGTGGAACAGGTGAGGTGACAGAGCGTAAACTCACCCAGTGAGTCACGTTTTCTGTTCCAGCTCAAAGATCACTGATGATGTGTTGGAGGTGGATAGAAGGTGAAAGGTCAGGGGTCAAATGGGGACTGATGGAAAAGCAGAGATGACCAAGACCTTATTAGGAGATAGCTTGTTGAACAACTAAAACATGTCAGAGACATGGGGAACGTTGAGCAACCCTGAGACATTAGCCAAGACATCAGGACAAAATGTCTCTAAGACAGTGATGGATATGAGTTTATCTGTCCAGTTACCCAATAAAGCACAGCAACAGTGTTAGCCAATGAAAATGCACCGAAAGCGGGTATAAACCCTATATAAAGAGGAATCTTTGGTTGGATCCTCCAGGCAGCTTCGAGTCAAGACCGAGATGGACAAAGAACTCTGCAGCTGAAGAAGAGCCAGAGACACAGGGACGAAGACTGTCCTGTTCACGGGGACCAACCCATCAGCCCCGCAACATGTGGCTTCAAATCGCACTTCTCTCATCGGCTGGGTTCAGACCCCAAGGACAAGATGAAGACAAAGATGAAGATCAAGACAAAGACCCAAGTCCTGTGTGACCTCACCATGGATGCAGAGACTAAAGCTCATCAGACCAACAGAGATCCCTGCCTTCATCAATCAACCTCCTCTTCCTCCTGCTGCAACACCTTCTTCATCATCGATCCAGTTCTGGGGTTCGAGACACCAAACTCCGTCCGTCTCTCTAAAGATTCCCTTTTTAGTTCTTAGTATCAGCGTTAGGGAAAGACAGGCTAGATGATTGATTTTACTTATTTGATTATTTCTGCTACTTAATTAAGCTGTACTGACCCTTGCAAAATTGCTTTACTAATAAAATATTTAGCATAAAGAAAATCTAAAAGATGTTGTAGACATTCAATTAATGAGTCACCTCAAAGTTCTTTGATGGTAGTAAAATAGCTGTGATGTTTGATTCTGGGAAGAAAACTAGGTCATGTTTTATAGGTTGCTTTAGCCCAAATTTAAAACAACATCCTTGGGACTCGCCAGAGTCACTAAAAGTAACCTGATTCAGTAACAAGTGCAAGTTGCAAAAAAGAGAAGGAGCGACCGTTAACAGATGTGCTCTGTGGAACTAGTTATCTGTATGTTGCTCAGTCTGGCTAATTCACAGGGGGAAAAAGGGTGAGACATCTGGATGTAGGCCGTAGAAATCAGGCGAATCCTTTCTAGAAACCAGCTTAAACAGAGTTTACTTCAGTTCTGGATCGGGTAAATCCCAGCAGATTTAGGAAACTCAATTCACCCGTTAGATGGAGAGCTGGTAGGACATCTCCCCTCTCAGAAGAGGAAGTAGTGACTGAGAGAGGAGAGAGGGAAGTAACGACAGTCCTTGTGATTAGGGATCCTGAAAACAATAAAAGAGAGGAGCAGACAAATGTGTTTTCAGAGCGGCAGGAGATTGTAACTGATAGCACATCTCTGTCTGTTCTCCTCGCGAGTAAGAAAGAATCTAACTCTCTTGTCTTTCCTGTGTTTGTTTAATCTGTGTTTAATAGGTGACAATTAGTTTCTACAAAAGTCGGCAGTCTGCATGCGACACGGACAGGAAGTGACACGGACAGGAAGTGACACTAGCTCCAAGTCGCCACATGATTAACACACCATTTATAAGTGATCAAGTCAACATTGGCACTTTGACAGAAAATTAAACCGATTAACTGCTGAGGTTCCTTCTTCCATACAGTTAGCTTAGCTTAGCAAACCCTTGAAACGGTAGCAGAGTCAGAGACAACAAAACTGAATTTAGCATTATGTTAAGACAAAACAGAAATTACTCAACTTTGTTTCTTATCTTTGTCCATGGCTAACATTTTCCACTTTTCATGCTAAGCTAGACGAACTTTCCATTCCCGTCATTTTGCTAAGCTAAGCTAGCACTTTCACTTTGCTTCCAGTTTTGATACTGAGCTAGCATAACACTTTCAATGACAATCACTTTGTGAAGATGGAAAAACACTTAATTCTTAGTTTTTATGCTAAGCTATGGTAATACCTTAATCTCCTGTATTTATGCTAAGCTAACCCTTTCTGTCTTTTCAGTCTTTTTGCTAAATTCAACAACACATTCTCTCTGTTCACTATTCTTGTGCTAAACTATGCTAATGCTTTCCTATTTTTACTGTGCTTATGCTAACTCAGTCCTAACCATAGCATTTACCAACATTTCTTGTGTTTAGCTACATTAGCCTAACATCCATTTTCACCAGTCAATATGCTAGGCTAGCAAAGGCTAGGCTAGCATGTTTCCAATGTTTTGGATTATTTAGTTAACTGGGAATATTCCTGGTGGTTCGTGGCTGATGGGCTGAACAGAATTACATCTTTACACACAGATTGATGCACAGCATGTCATTAGCAACATGCTAACAGGAGTTTCCAGCCCGTCCCTCTCTGGCTGTGAGGATGAAACTTCTGGTCCGTCTCTCTTGTGGCCAAGAAAGTGATGCTGGTGCTCAAAAGAGGAGGGGCCTTTACGGCCGCCGCCAATCAGGAATCAGCTGAGAGTTCAGGTCTGGAGGTTCTGTGGCTTTGCCGCTCCGGTGTCCTTGTTGCCATGGCAGCGGCCTTCATCGTCATCATGGCAGCCTGCGTGCGGCGATCGCCTCCCTCACCTCATGACAGATGCACTGGCAGAATCCGTAGAGAACGAGCAGCAGCAGCGTGGACGGCACCAGGCTGACGAGAACCACGCCCAGCAGCAGCTGGCCCATCATCAGCAGGTAGATCCCCAGAGGCAGCGAGCTGAAGTACACCTGGGGTCAGGGGTCATGGGGCATCGTGCCAACATTTCGCGTTACTTTTAATGCGGACACGTGTCAATTATTCTACATTTACGTGCAAAATGTTTTGTGTCCTTTCATCATAATTGTCAGCTCTATTTATTTGAACTGCAGCCACAGCTGAACATCCGTCATAAGATAAGAAGCCTGCAGTAATGCACTCAATGAAACGAATCAGTTAAATCAATACCAATAATACCAATAAAGATTAAGCAACTTCAAACTTTATGCTTTGTTTTCTCATTTGGCATCTCACAATAATCAATAGATCAATTAATTAACTAAAACGAGCTCAATAATTACCATTTGCAAAATTTACTGTTTTGGTTTTCCTACCAAAAATTCATCTTTGTTGTTTCTGTTGTTAAAATGTTCATTAGAACTTAAAGTTTATTGATCTTTGGGATTTTTATTGCATTACTGGAAATGATCTCAAAACAACAATATTATTGTTTGTCACAACAACTTCTGCAGGATTTTTATCTGAAATGCAAAATGTTCATATTTTTGACCAGAAAGTTTTGTTCAAATTACTTTTTTTAATCTGTAAATGATTAATCAATGATTAAATTAATTGACAATTATTTTAATAACTGATTAACCCGATTAATTGTTTCACTGGAGCTATTTGTTAGTGATGGTGCCAGCTTCGTCTGTCACTGACCATACACAGCGCCCCCAGCAGGCAGCGTGGGAAGCTGCGGGACGTCCAGGCGCGACACTTCTGCGAGGGGAAGCTGCAGGGCAGCGAGTCCAGGCTGGGCGGCCGGTACAGACCCACCACATTGATCATGCTGACCGAGTCCGAGGACGGGGAGTCGTCCGGCAGCTCCATGATGGTGATCACCAGGCAGTCGGAGGACCGGAGGGACGCGTCCGTCCCTCCGGCTGCTGCAGAGCGGAGAGTCAGACCACAGACACAGAGACAGACAGACACACATAGACAGACTGACCTTTCAGAGAGGTGGGAGTCAACACCACCTCTGAACCGCCGCCATCTTTAACTGTCGATCCCTCCTGCTGGGCTCGGTCCTGACAGGACAGAACCGCCATGATGTGCCGGTCGTCTTCCATCAGCCACACCTGGAGAGGCGGAGACAGAGTCCCAACGTGGACCGGAGTGATGGGCAGTCCACCACTTCCTCACCGTCTCACCTCCTAACAAACCCGTCTCACCTCCTAACAAACCCGTCTCACCTCCTAACAAACCTGTCTCACCTCCTAACAAACCCGTCTCACCTCCTAACAAACCCGTCTCACCTTTTAACAAACCCGTCTCACCTCCTAACAAACCCGTCTCACCTCCTAACAAACCCGTCTCACCTTTTAACAAACCCGTCTCACCTCCTAACAAACCTGTCTCACCTCCTAACAAACCCGTCTCACCTTTTAACAAACCCGTCTCACCTCCTAACAAACCCGTCTCACCTCCTAACAAACCCGTCTCACCTCCTAACAAACCCGTCTCACCTCCTAACAAACCTGTCTCACCTCCTAACAAACCTGTCTCACCTCCTAACAAACCCGTCTCACCTCCTAACAAACCCGTCTCACCTTTTAACAAACCCGTCTCACCTCCTAACAAACCTGTCTCACCTCCTAACAAACCCGTCTCACCTTTTAACAAACCCGTCTCACCTCCTAACAAACCTGTCTCACCTCCTAACAAACCCGTCTCACCTCCTAACAAACCCGTCTCACCTCCTAACAAACCTGTCTCACCTCCTAACAAACCCGTCTCACCTTTTAACAAACCCGTCTCACCTCCTAACAAACCCGTCTCACCTCCTAACAAACCTGTCTCACCTCCTAACAAACCCGTCTCACCTTTTAACAAACCCGTCTCACCTCCTAACAAACCCGTCTCACCTCCTAACAAACCCGTCTCACCTTTTAACAAACCCGTCTCACCTCCTAACAAACCTGTCTCACCTCCTAACAAACCTGTCTCACCTCCTAACAAACCTGTCTCACCTCCTAACAAACCCGTCTCACCTCCTAACAAACCTGTCTCACCTCCTAACAAACCCGTCTCACCTTTTAACAAACCGTCTCACCTCCTAACAAACCCGTCTCACCTCCTAACAAACCCGTCTCACCTCCTAACAAACCCGTCTCACCTCCTAACAAACCTGTCTCACCTCCTAACAACCCGTCTCACCTTTTAACAAACCCGTCTCACCTCCTAACAAACCCGTCTCACCTCCTAACAAACCCGTCTCACCTCCTAACAAACCCGTCTCACCTTTTAACAAACCCGTCTCACCTCCTAACAAACCTGTCTCACCTCCTAACAAACCCGTCTCACCTCCTAACAAACCTGTCTCACCTCCTAACAAACCTGTCTCACCTCCTAACAAACCCGTCTCACCTCCTAACAAACCTGTCTCACCTCCTAACAAACCCGTCTCACCTCCTAACAAACCTGTCTCACCTCCTAACAAACCCGTCTCACCTCCTAACAAACCCGTCTCACCTCCTAACAAACCCGTCTCACCTCCTCGTCAGGGACGTAGGTCTCGTGGCGGCAGAACGGGCAGCTGATGACGGTCGGTGAAGAGTCTCCTGAAAGCCAGGATGAAAGCTCACAGAGCAGGTCTTTAATGGAGCGTCAGCAGCAGCAGCAGCACACCTGGCAGGTGAACTCACCTATGTCCACCATCTTCTTGAGACACTTGGCGCAGACCCGGTGCAGGCAGCCCAGCAGCTTTGGTTTCCGGCTCCGAGTGTTGTATCGGTTGTAACAGATCTTACACTCCAGTTCCTCCACGGTGTAGACCAGAGACTGAGCCCAGCTCTGAACCTGAACACAACGCACAACAGGCCGTGGGTACCTGAATGCACCATGATGGCTGTAGGACGTTCCAGAAACAAGGCATGATGGGAACTCTCACCTTGCCTTCAATCTCCTGGCCAAGCTCCGCCTCCATCAGCTGGTTCATCTTAGTGGTCAGTTTGAGGTTGAGCTGATCAGTCAGAGTGTGGATGTTCATCCGTCCAACCAGGAGGCCAGACGTCCATCTAGGGAGAGACAGGTGAGACAGAGACATGTCTCACTGGCCCGGGCCGCCACCCCTCCAAGTGAGTTCAACAGGAGGACAAGTTCAGAGACACACCTGGAATCTACCCTGTGGTACTCCACAAGTAGCCCTGCAGGTGGAGGAAGAGTCACCGTTCACTGTGGAGAAACAACTGGATCAGAAACCAGAACTGACATCTAACAGAACCAGATTGAACCAGAGGCGACACCAGTCCACCGTCTGAGGCCAACAGAACATCAACAGTGACTTTCAGCAGAGCTGATCCAATGATGAGTTCTGTAATCTGGCTGACCCAGAACCATCTGACCCAGAACCATCTGACCCAGAACCATCTGACCCAGAACCATCTGACCCAAGACTTCAAATCAGAATCAAGTCATCTTCATCTCGAGGTTCTGAAGTATAGGTTTAATTACCTTATAAAACCTGTGGTTCTGATCAGCTGGTTCTGATCACTTGGTTCTGATCAGTTTACCAATTGTATATTAATAAGAGCTGAAAATATTATGATTGGTCGTTATGTCCACTAGCTCTGCAATAGAACTTCTGGGATAAATGGATTGGACCTGGCAGCTCAAATTAGACCCTAACCAAAGAGAATATGATCGAAACGGATCAGAACCACGGATCGACGACAGAACCTTCATTTACAACCTCAAGCTGATCAGTTCTCCTCTCACGGACCAGCAGCTGCTGCAGCTGCTGTTGCTGCAGCTGCTGCTAACTGCTGCAGCTGCTAACTGCTGCAGCTCACCTGCTGGCCTGTGGAGATGCTGAAGGTCTTCCAGTCTCAGGGGGTTCTGGACTGCGCTGGTTCCGGTCTCAGTTGCTCCGATGGTTCTGGTTGCTGCAACATGTTGGCCTTCAGCATCAACAGTTCCAGTGGTTCTGAAGGTTGAAGGGAGTCCAGCGGTTTCGGGTCTGACGGAACCGGTTCCGCTGGCCGCAGCTGTGGCCTCGCGCTCAGCAACAGTGTCCTGATTTCTGTCCCCGCGACAGAACGCTGGATGTGACGTCACTGCGGATCTCGGCCGCCCGTGTCCCGGTGTCGGTGCCAGCGGTTCGGTCTGTCTAGGGGTTCTGGTTCTGTTGTCGGTCGCGGCTGGTTCCGGTGAGTCGCGGTGACTCACCATCCCTCCGACTCACTGCGGCGGGAAGCCGGTCACCATGACAACCGCTCAGATGGCGGAAAGAGCCGACCGAGCATTCTGTGGGCTCCAGAACCGAACCGAACCGAACCGAACCCGAGCGCATAGGAGACCTCTGTAAACAAGTGTCCCCCTGGAGACACTTGTTCTCAGCAGTGGCGCTCCAAGGGGGGCTGTGGGGGCCTGGGGCCCCTCTGGAAAAAAATTAATTATTCATTTTCTGAAATCAAGACATAAACATAAAATCAAACAAGCACACAAATATATGTATGTATATATATCTATATATGCTGGGATGGACAGACTTTCTTCCATTGGTTGTTAATATTAGTGAAAGATTATGTGCAGGTACAGTTTGATAAACAGAATTTTTTTAATGAGAACTGTTTGTCAACCAATGATAACTTTTTAAAATAACTTTAAACCTGATATTTGCTGTCAATAAGCACATTAAGCCCATATTTTATATGTCAGAAGGGATTTTTATATCAGCCTGATGTAAAACTGTCTTTCCACACACACTGGTTTAAAAACACCAGTGTGTCATCTTTATGTTTCGTTTCATTTCACAATGATGAAAGACAAGAATTAATGTTTCTGTTTTATATAATTTATTAAAGGCAGCTGTACCTTTAATGAAAATATTCCACGAGAAACTGAAATGGAAACACTCATTTATTTTTTTACCCTGTAGGAACTCTTGATCTGTCCGTGTTTCCAGTCGGGAGCTCCGGGTTGTTACACCACTTCCTGTCCTTTGTAATAAAGGCCCGGCGGCTCAGCGGGTCAGTTTTTTGGTTTTAGGTTCGGTGAATCCGGGTCAAATCGGAGCCATCAGAACCGCAAACATGGTGAGTTTTTCCCGAACTGGGTCTTTGAGACCCGGTCCTTCTCAGAACGATGAGAATTGTTATTTTTTAACGCGATGATTTGAATATGGCGGCGGTTTGAGGAGACGTTGGCGGGACGTTGGAGGAGAGGTCCAAATGGATCCGAACCGGATCGCCACAACTGGAAACTGGTCCAATACGTCAATAACTGAACCCATCGGCCTGGTTCTGATTAACGGGTCATAACTGGGCCAGATGTGGTTCGATTCGGTCTCAGAATATGAACAAACCGAACCCGATCCACATCAAGGCCGATAAAGCTCGGTTCTGGAGTGTAGCGGCCGAACTGGGTCAGATACCAGAGTCTGTGAAACGAACCGGACCGCGGTTCTGTGTTTACTCTCAGTTTTGACTTTCAGGTGAGCTGCTCACCTGCGGGGCGGTGCTCTCTGGTACCGGAACCGGTCAGAACTCTGCACTGGTTCCAGTTCAGAGTTCTGAACTGCAGGATTTGGTTCTGCAGGATTTGGGTCAGCGCCGAAGGTTTGATCCAGAACCGGGTCCGAGAAACCCGGGTTCTGGTTTATGTTGTCCTCCTGGTTTTGGGTCAGAAATGTTTTGTTGATTTAACACTTAAAGATCCACAATAGAACCGGATCCAGGATGGAACCAGAACCAGAATAAAGTTCTGCTCAGGTTCTGCTTCCTTCTCTTCTGTGGATTAATTTTAGTGGCTGTTTTCTTGATGCTCTGATCTTTGATCGGACCTTAGTTCTGCCAGTTCATGGGGTCAGAGACCCAGATGCAGGTAACTGGGTCAGAACCTGGTGTGATGTGGTGATGATGTCATGTTGCTGCTTGTCTCTGATTGGCTGCAGACGGTGGGGAAGAGCAGCAAGATGCTGCAGCACATCGACTTCAGGATGAGGTGCATCCTGCAGGACGGACGCATCTTCATCGGAACCTTCAAGGCCTTCGACAAACACATGAACCTCATCCTGTGCGACTGCGACGAGTTCCGCAAGATCAAGTAGGTCCAAAGCCCTGGAACCAGAACCAGAACCGGGCTTTCACTGGGTCAATGTCGCTGAGCTTCAATTGAACCCAGAATGTAAATCTTAGAGAGTTTAAAGATGAATCTTTCTTTCTCCTCCGTCATCATTGAAAACCTCGTAAAAAAAGAAAGTTTATTAGAATTACTGAACAAGTTTAAAGTTTCTGAGCTGAAAATTAAACAAAATAAATGAAGAACAATCCAACTTAGTTCAACAAATTATAAACCTCAAACTAAACATTTTATTACATTCAAGCCAATTTAATTAAAATTGATATAATTTCTGACTTTAAACTATATAGTTTTGATGTTTTCAGCGTTTCAGTTCAAATGACTTGTCTCTTTTCCCACCAACTTCCTGATCAAATGACTTAAATCCAAATCTTCCACAAGTTTCAATAATTTGGTGTGCAGCCATGTTCAGCTTTTACTTTCCTACATTTTGAATTTAATGTGATTCCTTCGTGTGTTTCTACATAGTGAAACACAGTGATGAACACAGTGATGAACACAGGAAAAGTTTTAGTTTCCAGCAGATGAAACATTTTGATAGTCGACAATCAGAGGCAGAAGGAAACAAACCGCAGCGACGCCTGAGTCTAAAGATTCAACTCAGCCGTCAGATTCTGAGAGGAAACGATAAATTCATTTCAAATCCCTCTATAGGAATCAACAGTTTATCAGAACAGAAGCGGATTTTACTGTCCAACTGCAGCCTCAGATTCACAGATAAGTTCTTAAAATGTTTCACAAAGAAATATGAAGAATATTAAGAGGATGAGGCCGCCGCCCAGGCCATGAAGGCTGAAGCAGAAGATGCTGCAGGTTTTAGAAATGAGCTGCTGGATGTGGAACCGAGTCGTAATGTGGCAGCAAAACACAAAACATGCAACAACTGGAAAAGATGAATGATTGTGGAAATCTGCTCAGTTTCTCCCTAACAATTACTCATGACTTCAGTCTGCCACTGTGCCTTGACCTTTGACCCTAAGCTGAAGTTCATTTATGTCAAATCTGGAATAATCTCATCTCCTCATGGTACCAAACACAAACCGCTGTGACCCGGTTCTGATAGAATCAGGGTTCAGCTCTGATTGGCTGGGAGGTGGAGGCTGTTTCTGTGGTAAAGTCTCAAGGCTGGTGACCTTTGACCCTGTTCTCTCCGGCAGGCCAAAGAACTCGAAGCAGCCGGAGCGCGAGGAGAAGCGGGTTCTGGGTCTGGTTCTGCTACGGGGGGAGAACCTGGTTTCCATGACGGTGGAAGGCCCGCCCCCCAAAGACGTGAGTGCTTCCTGCTGAGCGCTGCTGTGCGGTGGTGACCTCTGACCTCTGACCTGCGATCTCTCCCTCAGACCGGGATCGCCCGGGTCCCCCTGGCGGGCGTGGCGGGCGGGCCGGGCGTGGGCCGCGCCGCGGGTCGGGGCGTCCCGGCCGGCGCGCCGATGCCTCAGGCGCCGGCCGGACTGGCGGGGCCGGTCCGGGGAGTGGGCGGCCTTCGCAGCAGGTAACCATGGTGAAATGGATGGGGCGGGTCAGCGGCGAGTTCCGGTTCTGAAGGTTCTGCGTGTTCCAGGTGATGACTCCGCAGGGCAGAGGCACTGTTGCCGCAGCAGCAGCAGGCGCCAGCATCGCCGGCGCCCCGACGCAGTACCCCCCTGGGCGGGGAGTCCCGCCCCCCATGGCCCGAGCCGCGCCCCCTCCAGGTGAGTCCAGCTCCCGTGTTTGATGGCTGTAGATTGCTCTCTTGCTCCTCATTGGCTCCCGTTTGGCTCCACCCCCACAGGTATGATGGGCCCACCCCCCGGCATGCGTCCCCCGATGGGCCCCCGATGGGAATGCCGCCCGGTCCGGCCGCGGCGCCCCGATGGGAATGCCGCCTCCCGGCATGAGGCCGCCGCCTCCCGGGATGAGAGGTCAGCTGGCCGGCCAATTACATCGCACCTTCCTTTAGCCAATCGGTGACCTTAAACACATCTGTGACCTCTTCTAGGACCGCCCCCTCCAGGAATGAGGCCGCCGCCCAGGCCATGAAGAAGCTCCGCCCCCTCAGACTCTTGTATAGATGTTTTTGTTACTTTTTAATAAAGTTTTCTCAGTTTGAATTTCCCTGGTCTGTTTGTTTCCATGGTAACAAGGAACATCACTTCACAGAACCGATTTTAAATCCCTGGAAAACTCGATGGAAAGAAAACCTCTGGAAGTTTTGTGGAACACGGCACCCGTCATGAACATGAAGAAATCTCCATGAATCATTTGCTTAATGACACTTTCCAGGCAAATCTGCATTAAAAGGGTCTTTATTTACTGAATGGCACTTTAAATTTTACGCATTCATGCATCGTCCTACAGCATGCACATGCATTTTTGTCAATTAAACATTTTTAAATGAGTCTGGTGTCATTAATAATCCAACTTTTCCACAAGGTGTAACTGAAGAACCCAAACCCGGTTCTGCTGGATCATAAAACAGTTTATTTCCAGTCTGCACCTGAGCTGCTGGATGTTTTGAAATGACACAAAGGAATGAGATTAATAAATAGAGCAGCGAATATGAGAGGTTCATACGGAACTCCTGCAGTTCACTCAGCGTCCATGAGGGGGCGCTCTCTGGTCAGTCTTTAAAACATTTATTATTAGAAATATGAAATAACAGTTCTCTCTAATTTTTGTTGTTCTAGATTCAGAACACTTCCGACTTAAACCGAAATCAGAATCGATCTTCCTTTAGTGATGTCACTTCCGCCCAGAAGGGGGCGTACTGAGCTACAACAGGTGCATCACATTTTCAGTCATTAAATTCCCATTGTTGCGGAACTATGTTATTTTTATTGTCTTCACTGGAGTTAAAATGATTTCTGTTGCGTCGGACGGACTGCAGGAAGCCGTGTTGATAAATAAAAACTCGACCCAGTTGGTGAACCAGAACCAGGAAGTTCTCAGCTGAACACGTGACTTTAACCGGAGTCACATGACTGCAGTGATCGGAGCCACTGCAGCGCGCGACAGGTTGGGACTCTGAAAGGTGAGTTTTTTGTAATGCTGGGGTTCTGGTTCCGAATGGACCCAGCTGGTATTAGCTGGTCTAACCTGTCCTGGACGAACCCCCTCATTCTGGTCCGGTTCTGGACCGGACTGAGGTTTTTCCGTGTCTCTTGGCGAATTCTGTTTCTTTCGGTTTGAATCTGGACCCTGACGGTTCTGTTTGGGTTCGGACTGTCCCGTTTGTAAAGGAAGTTCTGGTTTTATGAAAGTCAGGAGTTTTTGTCTTGCGGTTGAATAAACTTTCCTCCCTGCTGAGGTGGATCAGGACTTAAATAATGGGTAATTCTGGACCGAACCTGTTGGAGTCAGCTGACTGAAACCGACAGAACTTCCTGTTAAGGGCCGGTTCTGCTGCAGAGCCCCCTGGTGGTCTGTTTGGGATCAGCAGCTTATTGATGATGGGATGGAACTGGATCGGACCGGATCTGGGTCTGCAGGTGGGCCAGAGCAGAAGGTCCAGATTGGCTGTGATCATCAATCTGGAGATGTTCTGTTGCTGTTTATCAACATGGTGAAGATCTGGACCTGGTTCTGGAGCACCAGGTCCAGTTTTTCTTCATGCATCAATCAGAGGATGAAATGCCTGACAGATGTAGGTGATGTCACTTCCTGTCCAGGCTCAGGCGTAGTTGGTGATAGTGATGGGCAGATGAGGGTGTATGGCACATTTCCCAAACTGTGTCGACACTGTGTTGCTGTATCACTCAATGGCGACATCTGCTGGATTTAAAAAGTAATTGCAGGCAACTTCAATAAAGCCTGGAAACAGACTGAACAAGGTTCATTCACACATTTTTATTTACAGAAACATCAGCTACGTTAACATCTTTGGGCCAATTGCCAAGAAAACAAAACAACAACAAAAGCTGACTTGTATTTTTTTATTTTTATTATTATTATTATTAACTGTTTACAAATCAGCCGAGATGAATGCTGAAGTTTCTTCCTTCTGACGTATTTCTATCTTGAAAAATTGAAAGTGCAATTAGATCATACATCAATTCATCCAGAGGTCTGGAATCAGACGATGTTCCTCATGCAGACATTCCCATCACAGAAGCGACACATTAATAGTTTCTGGTCCTTTTTATGAAACTTGCATATAAAGTGATTATTCACTTTAAAGCATTTTCATTTTGCCCGAAAGCTTTAGGGAATTTTCTCTTGCACACAAAGAGCTGCTGCTTTTGCTAGTCCATATTGTCTGTATGGATTTTCCTTCTTGACCTCAAACCGGTTTAAAAAAGTAGTTGCAGTAAAGCATAATATAGTAACAGGTTCAAGAATGGACAATTTGAACCTTTTTGGTTTGAAAGAAATAATTTTTTTTTTAGGACGACATTTTGTGCAATTTTATACAACAATGTGATGTTGTATACATTTAACCTACAATAGAAATAAAAGTTAATCCATGTAAACTAATTAAAGTATTCTTCAGAAAGAATAATCAATGAAACAAGAACGGAATAATAATTGACCTTATTCTCCGTGATAAGATCAAAATGATCCACACATGAGAAAACTTCCTGGTTGATCCATAGTTTTCGATGACAAGCCGAACACCAAAGCCATCCAACAAAACCCACAAACGTGTCGATACATTTTCTGTTTATAAATACAACTTGGCGCGTTCAGAACCAAACGACACAGGAACCGGATCGGAACCGGATCGGAACTGGATCGGTCATGTGGTTTTCCTTAAAGAGATACGCACACCGACACGGGGGCTTCGCCTTGTTTGCTTGGCGCATGCGCCAAGGTTTCAGTGTCGTGACATCACTAGTTGGTGATGTCACTTCCTGTCCCGCCTCAGATGCAGGTGTTCCTGTGGTTCCTCCCGATGTTCCTGCTGGGTGCCGGCGCCGCTCCCTCTGCAGATGAGATCAGCTTTCTTCCTGGGCTCTCGAAGCAGCCGAGCTTCAGGCAGTACTCTGGATACCTGACCGTGGCTGATGGGAAACACCTTCACTACTGGTCAGTACCTGAGCGCCTGCAGCTCACCTGGCTGCTGCTGCCTCACCTGAACAGGTTTCTGGTTCTCAGGTTTGTGGAGTCTCAGAGCAAGCCGTCGACCGACCCGGTGGTTCTGTGGCTCAACGGCGGACCGGGCTGCAGCTCATTGGACGGACTGCTCACCGAGCATGGACCCTTCCTGGTAGCTAACCCCTGACTCCGCCCACTTTTCCCTATGACATCAGTGTGCACTGTTTGATTTCCTCTCCTTCAGATCCAGGACGATGGAGCGACGCTGCAGTACAACCCGTACTCCTGGAACAAGGTGGGCCATGACTGGCAGGGGTGTGGTCACTAACTGAGTCCTAAACACTGATTGGCTCATTGCTCACCTGCAGATTGCCAACATGTTGTACCTGGAGTCTCCAGTGGGTGTCGGCTTCTCGTACTCTGATGATAAGAATTACAAAACCAATGACACAGAGGTGAGTGATGACCTTCCAACGGCGCTTTTGATTGGTTCACTGTGGACCTGAGACCCGGTCTCTGATTGGTTCTCCGGTGTGTGAGACTTTCTGTGTTTGCAGGTGTCCATGAACAACTACCTGGCCCTGAAGGAGTTCTTCCGGCTGTTTCCAGAGTACAGCAGCAACGAGCTCTACCTGACCGGAGAAAGTTACGGTGGTATCTACATCCCGACGCTCGCCGAGCGGGTCATGGAGGACTCCAGCCTGAACCTGCAGGTTCTTTCTGCTCAGCGTCTGACCCGTTCAGGTGACCTCACCCAGCCTCTGTGTGACGCCCTGTTTGCCTGTGTTGCAGGGCGTCGCAGTGGGCAACGGGTTGTCGAGCTACGAGCTGAATGATAACTCTCTGGTTTACTTCGCCTACTACCACGGCCTGCTGGGCAGCCAGCTGTGGGCGGAGCTTCAGATGTACTGCTGCAGCGGCGGGAAGTGCGACTTCCACAACAACCAGAACCCCAACTGCACTGAAAAGGTGAATCTCAGGCGGGTGGGGGGGTGCCGCCATCTGAGGTGTAGTGCCACAACAATGAAAAATAAAATGAATAATTCAGTGTGAAATGATGACGTTGGTTATGGACTGATCATCAGCTAAACGGGTCAGTCTCAGTTACTGTCTAGTAGAGCCAGCCTGATGAGGGCTTGCGTACTGAAATGATTAGTATATTTGGAACAGTTGGGCATCAACAATGCAAAAAACGCATTGAAATACACAACATAACAACATACACATTGTTTATCAGATGCCGTTTTATCTGAGTGATCCATGAAAACCAGGGAATGAATGAGGGAAACTCGCTGCTGGTCAAAAGGGCTTTTTCTCTATTCAAGGCTGGAGGAGGGAACCAGGGAGTCAGAAATGGACCATTCAGATCACATTTTTCCTGCTGTGTGGAATCTATAATTCAGAGCTTCCTTCTACAGAATTATGAATAAGTTCAAGGCTGTTAGATGAACGACAGTTTTCAGATGAATGGTTCTTCCACCAGGTATTCAGTCCAGGTGTTTCTCTCTACAGCTGTCAGACGTGCAGACGATTCTTTACAGTTCAGGGCTCAACATTTACAACCTGTACGCTCCGTGTGCGGGGGGAGTCCCTCACAGATTCAGGTAAGCTGTAACCTTGTTCACCTCACCTGCAGCAGGTGAGTTCTGCTGCAGGTGAACTCACCTGGCTGATGGCTTCTGGGTTCTCAGTGTGGACCATGGACAGCTGGTGGTCAGAGATATGGGGAACATCTTCATCAACCATCAGGAGACTCGCCAGTGGAACCAGGTGTGTGAACTCACCTGACACCTAATTAAGACGTACTCACCTGTTCTCAGCTTCTCGCCTGCTGCTCCTCACTGCAGAAGCTGATGAGTCTGGCCTCTGTGCACCTGTCCGTCCGCCTGGATCCACCCTGCACCAACTCCACGCCGTCCAGTCTCTACCTGAACAACGCATACGTCAAGAAAGCTCTGCACATCAGTCCCGACGCTCTGGACTGGGCCATCTGCAGGTAACCGTCTCACCTGTCCCGTCTCACCTGTCAGGTCAGCATATCTCTGACCCGTCTTGTCTGGTGTTGCAGTTCTGAGGT